TAGACGTTCGAGGCAAGGAGTCTCTTTCAGGGCGTGGCCAATCATCGGGATGTACTGGTGGTAATTTATACTATCTATTTTTACACTGTCATAGGATTTTGACCCCAGTTTGGAGGTTAACTATTTTCCCATAGCTGGGACCCTAACAGGTGCTACCACCGCGGGTGAAAGTGGACAGCAATTAAGAGACAGCTCGACGTTCCTCTAAACCCCCCTTTTGGAGGCCTTGCTGCCGGATGTAGTTTATCGTCATGTTTTTCTGAGTCCTGTTCTTTTTTTGTCCTTTCTTCTAACTACACACTCCTCATTCTCATTCACGTCTTAGTGGCTTTATTGACTTTCTTGAGGGTTGAAATGATTAATTAAATAAATAAATTCCTTTACAAAATGCCGGGTGATGAATTTTCTTTTAACATAGCTGTAAATTTTAAGTTTTCAAGAGTTAGTGATCATGGTTCTCCACAGTTTCCTGACATTTGTAGCTCTTAATAAATCTCGTCTTTTGTTTTCTTTTGTATCAAGTTTTTCAAGCCCTCTTTCTTTTTATTTTGGACGTGGGAACAGCAGCAATTAACAGGGGGTACTCTACCACTTCGTCCCCAGCCCCTCAACCTCCGGCGTCTTCCTCTTTGGGTTGAGGTGTCCACTCGGTCCGAACCGAACTTAAGAGTAACTAGCCGTACGCTCCCTGAGTACCCGTAGATTTCGACCGGTCAACGTGTCAAGTCCTGCTCGCTGCCCACGCTGTGTTAGTTCTGAGTAACCGGGGTGTTGTCCATATGTTCACGGTCGACTGGGGATGTGGACATGGCTGTGAAAGTTAGCGCTAGGAAGTTTAGAATGTGGCAAAATAAAACAAGAAATAATATCTGCAGAAGCCAGACAACAATGGGGGAAAATATTGACGTCTTTTATATAAGAAGATAACATCAGAACAGAGGTTACAGGGAGAATAAAAACATTTAACATAAATGAGCAAAAAGAAAAAGAAAAAGACACAATGCATCCAGCGAATTTCCAACAGAGAGAGGGTTTGTGTGTGATAAACACATATTGAATCACCTGGGGTAGGTTTATGACTAATAGTCCAGTCTCTTTCTCTCCTCCAAAATTCTCCCGAAAATCTCTCGACTCACTGCGACTACAGTCTCTTTCCCCGACTTTATTAGCAAAATGTCGAGTTAATATAGAAAAAGAATCAGCTGATCACAATTGACCCTCGGCCCGGCACGCAGCTAATACGAGTGCCAAAAACTATTCCATGACACGTAAACCGATTCTCCAATTATTCACCTTATCTCAATCACGAGTTCATCTCACTTCACCAAAATTATACTTTGGGATATCTAAACATGGATTCAACCTTTTAATCAAAACAAATACTGTTAAACAAAACCAAGTATCTCGCCCATCCCCATTGTTTACTAGTGACCTAGGTTTAAAATATCGCCTCCTGCCCTGAGATTGTGTTTCTCATCGGTAAACACACATCTTAACCCAAATTGTACTTTGATATATAAACACTGTTTCCATTTCCAGTCAATAAAACTTATATTTGCGTGTGTGCGTTCATGTGGGTGTGTATGTGTATACCTCTCTCTCTCTAACAGTACCAAGCTCCTCAAAACCTTCCGATCAGAGGCCTTGCTGCCGGATGTAGTTTATCGTCAAACACAGGACGAAATGAGGGCTACGCAGCTCTAGCACAAATATGTCAGCGATACTCCATTCTTTGTGTGGTCTGACTCTTCTAAGCATAGAGCATGTCAGTAGGAGTCTGGTATTATATCAAGCGATACAAAAAACTAGACATTCTTCCAGCATCTTTTGGGACGGCACCGAATATGCGAAATCCACTTGAGATCTGAAGTGATCTTTATTCCTAATAAACGTTCGAGAGCCTCGTTGTTGAGGTGTGAGGACATTCTGGTTCATTTCTTGTATAAGAATGATATCAAGGAAGATATGATCTGGCTTCTACGTTCTCTTTGGCCTTTATTTTGAAGCCTTCTGGTAGCTTTCAAACGTCTCTCATGGTATTTATATCACACATACAGTTCCTATGGTCGACTATTCAATTTTGCTCGATTCAATGCTAAAACAAGGGTGTTTTACTCGCTAATTAGAGATCTTCTTTATGAATATGGCGTAGGTTTGGTTAACCACACAAAGGAAGATATGATTTAAAGATCAAATGAAGATCACATATAGATCGGAATCCGACGGGATGATAAGATAAAAAAACAAATAGGAAACGTTTATCAATTTAACATGTTTCACTTTTATTAAAGCTTCGTCAGAGATTGAGAGAAAACATACCTATAAGATGAAGAACAAATAGGAAACGTTTATCAATCTAACACGTTTTACTTTTACTAAAGCTTCGTCAGAGATTGAGAGAAAACAAACAAAAGACAGAACTTTGGCATTTTCAATTTCGTTTAGGTTCGATTCTCATTGGTCAGTCATGTATTGCGTTCATTAAAATCGCAGATATTTCTATATATATGTATATGTAAATGCAAACCCTAAACGCATTTGAAACTCGATTCAATGCTAAAACAAAGTTGTGTCTTACTCGCTAATTAGAGATCTTCTTTATGAATATGGCGTAGGTTTCGTTAATCACACAAAAGAAGATATGATTTAAAGATCAAATGCAGATCAAATATGAATCGGGATCCATCACCGCTATCATTCGACCGTAGTCGGGATCATCGAGCCAATGTCAACGATCCTTTCTTTAGCTGTATACACCCTTGTGCAAATTAATTGAAACAACCGCTTTAGTTTCCGTTCTTTCACCATACGGTCAGTTTTAGTACCTCAGAATCGACAGGGTGTAATCGATTTCTATTTTTTCCTCAGATTGGGTCATTTGCAGTGGTATGCAGTGATATGTATCTATTTTCGAGGTGTATGATGATATTTTTTTGGCCTTGCAAAATATTGCCTCATCCGTGATTGCATCAGATTTTTTATCGCGCCCATACACTACTGTCTCGACTGTCGATTAGTTGTCCTACGCCTTTAGTCTGCGGTGGACATTGCTCCAAGGACGCGTGCGAAAATTGTAACGCTCCACGAACACGCTTTCAAGCCTTGCCAGTGAGCAAATCAAAGTACTATAGACTGAGCCGGATTTAAATTCGATCAAGAATCATTGATCAGTCTATAACGAACGACTTCGTGGGATGGACATACGAATTACTAACATGTGCACTGGAGCTTATTCATTTTGTTTCAATTAATTTGCACTAATTGCACCGAGGCTACATACAGTTTTGAATTCAGAGTTACTTTCAAAGCTATAGAACCCAATCTGTCCTGTTATTTACCTATAGGGAAGAAAAAAAAAGGATTCATACCTTTCCCAAGGGTATTAGCAACTAAGTGAATGTAATAGATCCGACTGGAATTCGAACTCGGCTTTCCGATTCTTCAATCCGAATCGCTATCCATTACGCCACCGTGTATAATGGTAACAAACAAAATGGTATCGTGTTTCAATTTTATTAAAGCTTTGTTAGAGATCGAGAGAAAAC